TGAACAACGTGCTGGAAACATTCCGAATTCCTGATCCATGTTGAAATCTACAACAGTGCAGATGATTTCAGTGTATTCATAGTTTTCACAGGACTTCAAATCATTATGGAAAGGACCACCTGAAGAGCTTGACAATTATTTATAAGCATGTAAAAAATTGGGCAGTCTGCCTCACAACTTAGTGGAGCTTAGAAGAAGATAAATGATACCACCCTTCACTTGCATCTAGTTTAAAGGAGCCAAAAGTTCAAATGGAACAGGAGAAAAATAAAGCAGAAGAGCAGGAGGAAAATTAACATCAAGAAGAATGAAAGAGAAGAGGTAAAACAATAAAAAGGTGGAGTTCACACAAGGCGTTAACGGGAAGAAATGAAGGAGAATATGAGTTAGCTCCACAAGGCCATCATTTCTCTTAAAACTTACAACCCCACCCCTGAACTTATTCACTGCCTCTTACTTCAAACCTTTACACCAACACACCCCCTAACTCATGCACCTGCCTATTTAACCCGTATAACATACACATTTACCCCAACCCATGTTTCCCAAATGTAGATAGACAGATATAGCCCAATAAAATCAAAGGAAATAGCTCAGAACAACAGCACAAAAATTGCTCAGAATGTGTAACAAAGAACAAAGACGACCAACCAACCAGGTCTGTTGAAGTGAACTGACCCTGTCTGTGAGGTCCTTTTTAACTAAAGCTCTTAAGCACTGTATTCTAGTGCTTGTTTATATAACAGTAAAAACATATGCGGCTGTGCGAACAATGACACCTGTCACATATACACGCACACACACAGGCACCTCTATGACATGCGTACAAAAGCTTGCAATATCATAAAAGGCTGTTTCTTTCTCTTCCCACACCTTTGTCAGACACCTTTGTCCTAGACAAAAACACAAAAGATTCCTTTTCAAACAGCTGTTTGGTTTTCCTTCAAAACTGATGAGGTGAGGTACACCCTATTCCACTGAAAGCTCCAGAAGGCCTGAGGGAAATGGGCGTAATCTCAATTTTAAAGCAAAGGTAATACATACAATGGATCCTTGATAAGGTCTGACTAAAATGAATTCTTTTTAAATTATTTTTAAAAAAATGCTAATAGTGTTTTACCCAAAAGGCACAAAGTTATCGTACAGTCTCAGTGTCAAAGTAGCCCCTAATTTAATAAAGCAGTGGTAAATAGAAAACCATCAATTTTGCAGCAGTTAACATTTGAAAAAGCTCAGATCTCTCAGCAGCTTGTTTCAGATCTGTGCCACAGAGAAGCTAAAGGCGTCATCACTATATTTTATTTCAAAAGTTGAAGGAGAAGCAGTTCCCAGATGACCTGAAAGGCCTCGAGGGTTTATAAGAGCGCAGATCAGAGTATTCAGAATGTCAGAACTGTTTTGGTCTTAAAACATTTAGTGTTTTATAGGACTGAAGTATATATATATTCACACACAAAGGAAAAAATAAACAATCAAGCTCTATGATCAATGGCATTACTAGCAGAAAAATTACTTTCTGCTAAATATACTTAAATATATATATATAGACTCTATATATCATTGCCATAATGATTGTGAAGTATGTGCAGTATGCATGTTTGCTCCTTAACTCCTTTCTGTGCATTTACACATAAAAACTGCACGATCGAGGAAAGGGTCATGAATGTACGCCATATTTATGCACATAAATCCAACGTCACATTTGCACATTCATATCCACGCATTTATATTTAACACTCACTGCAGGGGTTCAATTTTAAGAATTTTAATAATGGTTCTACACCATTAATAGAGGGTTAAAGATAATCATAGAAGATGGCAGAGAGAGGGGAATCTTTGCTAGCTATGTCCAAAACACCATGATCAGCGTACAGGCCACAGGTAATGGCTGTTTATTCCTTTAAGGTCAAGTACTGATTTCAAAATTTCTACATTTCCAATTAAAAGCTCTTATTATTAATATAATGTGACAGCTAAAGTGTCTGTCCTGCAGCAATATGTTGAAAGGGTGACACTTTATAATACTTTCATGCTATTAAGCATTAATAAAGTATTAGTGGGCGCTTAATTCATCATTTGTATATCATTACTCCTCCTTTGTCATTTTTAAATACAGATATTTTTATACAGCTGTTACTTTTTACACCATGTACAGCTACCACTGTCTGGTCACAGCTATCACCAGGGCTGGACTGGGACAAAAAATCAGCCCGGGCATTTTGACTAGAGACCGGCCCACCAGGTATTATAGGAAAAACCATAAAGCCTTTGAATGAAAACAAATGTCGTTGTGACAGTGATGTACACTGTCTTGTTGGTACATGTGTATCAATCTAATAAACTTAAACCTACATCATCCTCCCTATTCTGGTATTCTAAACAGTACTTAGCCGAAACCCAAAGACTGCTTGGTTGAGTTAACTTCCTGAACTATCTACAACATATGGTGGAAACCTGAAATTAAGACAGAGAAGACTAGAGGTGAGACATGACCATTACTGAATATTAAAAATAATAAATGACAGATTTAGTGATATTTTCATAAACTATTTATTTACCACATCAATAAACAGCATGGCAGGGCAAAATATTTTTTCTAACATGGCAACCTTTTAAAAGTGAAAGGAGACAGAAAGACAAGTGAAAAAGAATAAAACTTAACTGACTTTTTGATGGCATTTTACACAAAGTACTAGTACAGTATCTAGAAAATGTGGGAAAATACTGGCATCATGTACAGTACTTTCTTCTGAAGAAATTATGTTGGGACCCTGAAAAACTTACTATGTACAATAATGGATTTCTATAAATTTGACATCAGATGAAAACTTTGGTTGTAAGATTCGGATAATTATTTGTTAAAAGCTAGAAATTTTAAATGAGAATAAGAAAAAAGTATTTCTTTGTGCCCCCCTTTCCCTGTTAATGCCCTACCTGGCCCCCTGGCAAAACTTTGCTAGACCCGCCCCTGCACAGTTACCAGCTGTCAGCTACATAGAAAAGGATCCTGGGGTTATTTGTCTCTCAGAAACAGTTCATAACTTCCCTTCAACCCATTCATGTCACCTAAAAGGTAAACCTGTTTCTCCATCACCTGTTCAGCTCTGATGATTCAGTAAGGACATCTCCTGGTTTCATCTTCACGTTTCCCTCTCACCAGATACCAAACCGATATCATGACCAGCAGCTTTTATGGCTCCAACAAACATCAGCTGATACTAGAAAGTAATATTAAATAAATTCTAACAACAGCTTATCAAGTTTAAAGGCGCTTCTGCTGTTTAACACGACCTCCGCTAGTTTCCTCTTTCTGGCGCAAAGCGGGAGATAAACAAGCAAGAGAGATGGGCCTTGTGGCAGAAACGCCGATCAGCTGATCATTGATCAGTTTCATGATTGAAGTAGCAGCAGGAGAGGGAGGGGGGAGAGTGAGAGAAGAAGAGGCAGCTGACAGAGTAAAGACACAGAATAACTCCAGCTTTGTGCCTTTTTTTATTGTAGCTGAAGTACGGGACAAATCGCGTTTATTTTCATCTCAATATGAAACACGTAATATTAACTCTGAATACCAGAGGATTCCGTTTTTTATGGCACGGTTGGGAACTCTACTAACTAACCATATGAATAAAATAAAGTTCACCAGTAACATCATAGCACCCACCCAACTGTATAGAAACTCCATCATGCTAGCTAGTACACAGTACGAGTTATTGTAACTGACTGTAAAAAGTTAGCACAATGAAAATAAACTACACCTAAACTTGGTTTGACCCAGATAGACTGCAGGTCATAACTTCTTACCTAAAGCTCATTTCACCTGACAGTCGGACTGGCCTTGGGTCTCTCCACCTCCAGTCCTTTCCCCCATCCACCTGCTGGCCTCCACCACTTACTAATTTTACTGAATGTGTGAAAGCTCCACCATAGCCACTACCAAACAATTGAGTTATTTTTACACGTCTGCCAGCATCTGTCCAATCCGCCACCTTTCACTGTTTACACGGTTATGGGAAAAAAAGACAACAACAACAAAACATCGGCCCATTTAAAATGAAAAATTACCATCGGCCCACCGGGCAAATGCCCGGTATGCCCGATGGCCAGTCCAGCTATGGCTATCACTGCTAATACAGCACTGCTAGTAATAATCACAATAGTTTTAAAAATCTTAATCTTAATAATATTAATCATAATATTAATAATTCTTTTACTAAGCCCAGTTTGATCACCTAGGCTACCACATACCCTACCCTACCCTAACTCTGAGTCCAAAAAATGATGAATTACACTGCAGGTCTTTAAACAAACAAACAAAAAAAAAATCATACTTATTAAATGCAAAATGTACTAAGCCAGAAAAAAGACCGGGGCGTGCAGCTGACATGGAATGAAGTGGGTGTTTACAAAATATGCAATAGTCTGTGAAATAATAAGATGCAAATTGGGGGCAGAGCCGGGACCCTGTTGCTATCACAGACATCTGCTCTTCTTAAACCGCGACAGACGCAGAGACACAGGAGGAGCACACGAAATATATTACTTTTATTGTCAGGAAAAAACCTGGAAGCTCTGTTTTTGTTTTTGGCCTCTCGTGAAAAGATCACTTTTGGTTCGCAGGAATCCGTATTTGAAAATAGCAAATAATGAAATGCCCAAGAAACGTATGGTTTGTTGCAAAACAACATATTGCATTCATCTGATACTGGAGCGGATTTTATGATTGCAATTCAGCAGTGCGCTCACATAGGAAATCATTGACTTTCACGCACCTGGTCTGCCACCTGTCACTGCTGGCAGCTGAACGGGAAGCTCAATCACACATCTGTTTACACTGTTGGAGACACTGCACAAGGAGACCAAGGACATAAAAACTGAAGTGTTATTGTCACCCATGCTGAGCTCTCTGTTTATGATTCAGCTATTTTGCTGTTTCAGTGTAATAAACCCCATCATGTAGCCCCATCAAACAAACCTCAAGAAAAACAAAGCACCGCGGGAAATTCTTTTTAAATGCAATTTTATCAGTAAAGTCAAGAATGTACAACACATGAGCTCAAAACAAGAAAATAGACCTGGTTACACACGTTCACGTCTTTGTGCAATAGAACCCTTCACACCGCACAGTAAAACATGACTTTTTTTAATAAATAAATAAAAGCACATAAGTTATGTACATGGTATTAAGTCAAAACTTCAAAATACTCCACTGCCTTGTGGTCTGATTACACTACAACAGAAATCAAACAAGATTCATGTTATAGTGCCTGTACAAACACTAGGAGACACCTAAAGCATTGGCACATTTGATACAAAAAAAATAAAAAATCGTCAGGAGAAGCAATATGTAAATGCTAGCTGCATTGTAATAGTTCAGCACAGAGCACAAGAGCATCAATAAGGCAACTTCTTATTGTTCTGGGCACTTGGGAGGATATTTATATTAATACATTTTTCACCCTATGAAGCAAGCAAAGAAAGACAGCTAAACTGAGCAAACATATTTATGATGCTGAACTTTAAGCACTGTAGTTCAATGGTTCCTCAGTCTTAGTTTAGGGTCTTAGCACACTAATATTACTAAATCAGCACTAAGTACAAAGAGAGACCCGTTAGGTCATTTTGTTTACAGGAACTGTTCAAAACTGTAGCATTTGCAAAATTAAAGGGACATTTGGTTTTATGAAAGAAGCACATTGTAATGGCTATGAAATGACAGTGTTTAGGCTTGCTGCCAAAAAATATCACTGTAACTATGCAGTTCTTCCTGCCACTGGTACTAAATCTGGACTAAAAAGCAGTAAGCACTTTCCCCATTACAATGCACTAATCAGGCAAGGAATAACTGTGGTCGGACATAGTTGCATGACTGAAATTATTCGAATATGTGCAATGAACATTAGCTACTTACATTCAGAGTGCAGCCATAGATTTAAAACAGGAATGTAGTAGTTACTACATGACAGCAATTTCACTGAAAAGGACACAGGCACTTAAAATCAACCTTGCTTTTATGTAGACATATAACTAGACTACAACCAGTTGGCAACCAGTTCGAGTACATATTGCAAAAGACAAGACGAATTTCACTTATTGGCACAGACTGACTCGGACTGATTCCAATTTGTTGGCAATATGTCTGTGTTTATAAATTAGGTGCCAGTTATTTGCAACCCTTGACAAATGTGTCTGAGTGATTTCAATCCAAGCTTGTGACTGTTTGGAGACAGGTATGCCTTACCAGGTGACCTGTGCAATCTTCTTGCAATAAAAAGTCGTCACCCAGAGGTTGAAGGTGTTGCACCAGTTGGTCAAGCTAACTACTTCCAATTAGTCGCTGAATGCACAAAAAAAAAGAAAGAAATCAATCCAATTATCACTTTAGTCACAAGTAGGATGCAATTTTATTTTTACTAGAGCAGTTTCTTTACTCTAGTGTGACTGAGCCATTAGTGAGTGGTTGCTCTCCCCAGTTAGATGATGTGATGGGTGTGACAGCGGGTGCTGAAGTCTGTTGCCACTTTTAAATGTTTGACCTGAACATGACACTAGATGAAATGCTAAAGGCTCAATTACGGTGACATTTTTTTCCTGTGGAGATCATTAACGTTTGTACCAAAGGTCATGACATTCCCACCAATATTTGTCAAGACGTTCCAGCCAAGTGTCAAGCAGGATCACAAATGTCTTTAGAAGATGTTATGGAAATATATCCAACAGCTTTTAGGACATTTCATTTCATTTCTGATGGACAGTTGGACAATCCAAAGAGCCAGGCTAAATTTTGACTTCAGGACTTAAGGCGGTTTGAGCGAGTGTGCTTTTGTGTATTGCAGGAAATAATACTCAAGTGCTCGAAAGCTTATTTCTCATTTCTACGCCCTGATAAAACTGACAGATTAGCCCAGCTGCAACATCCCCACTAAGACCATAACTGGGCTTATTTTTTAAACAAGAAAAACATGCTTCAGATAAAAGGAAATAAATGAGACGGCAAGACTGCAAAACGTGGGACTGATGTTGTCGGCTCTCATCTCTCATTTCTAATGATCTGTGCTCCCCATTGCTCTTTAGCTGGTAAATAAACAGGACCTGTCTGATGAATGAAACAGGGACAGTTTACTCCAAGGGAAAGCAATCGCCCACCTGAGAGATCCAGGCTGATGTTTCACTGATATGGAGTATATGCTTTTCTCTCACTCAGTGGGAACAATAATAAATATAGCGCTGGAGGGGTGAGATATGCAGGACCTGAGAAAAGGGAGAGACGGTAAAAAGCAGAGAAGGGGAAAAGGGCTGCAGGGGATTTGACAGTCAATATATGGCCAGATATATACACAGACACACAGACACAGAAGAAGAAGACAGAAAACAAGGAACACTGAACACTCAGTGGTGTTTTGAGCTAAGGTGCATGACAAGTGAGACAGAGTCTGTTTCTCTCTCAATGTTGCCAGAAACTGTTTACAAAAAAAGACCAAAATAACCTTTCAATGGTAGAAAACAAGCATGCCGAAAAACAAATGTAAAAAAACAGAAATGCTTTCTTAAGGCGGCACAGTCCAGTACTGATGCTGATTGTGAATGTCTTTCACCGGGTGTTTTTTTAGAGTTTGAAATGCACCAACGTTCATAGGTACACAATAGTTTCCTCCCTGCCCTCCTCTCCTCCACTGTCGGTCTCCAGGGAAACCAGCTGAGGGTCACCGGGATGCGGGCGCACCGGATACGGGTCAGTTCCACTTGCTGTTAGTGACCAGGTCTCCCCATTGTAGCTGTGATCTGAGTGGGCACAAAAAAACACACCATTTGTAGGAGAAATACAATTACTGAAATTGAACAATGAGACATTATTTATTCACCACTGATCAAGTATCCGACAGTATGGGACACGTAGCCACGTGTTTAATGAGCTCGGTCTAATTGCTTAGCCCACTTATGTAATCACTAACAGCATACAGATTAGGCGCTGCTGAGCCTGCTGCTCCCTCCTGCACCGTGTCTGAAAATGGGGAAAAAAGAGAATTTCAAGCTATGCATCACACCCCCTCAGCTCAGGCGTGTCACTTTTATCAGCAGCTTTCTCAACACGATCAATTGTCAGGCTTCGATGACATCAGCCTCCTCGCAAGTGATGGCGGACAAAAAGAGAGGAGGAGACAAGGGACCAGAAATGACAAATGAAACTGCTAACACCTACGAGTTGGCAAGCATATGGTTACGCTGAATTACTCTCACAGCAAAATACTATAACCCTGACCAGCCTGTAGTTGCTGTTCTCATAATCTTTTTCAAGGATTAGTATCATTATTATTCAGATGCAATTAGCTCTTAAAGAGGCTATGCTTTTGTAGGTGGTAACTATCACTTGTCTCTGCTACGCTTGCATTCTTTTTTCCCTCCATGTGCTGTCTAGCATTAGGGCAGGTGTGCTGTCATGGTAACAGATGGCGTGAACTATAAATTGCCTCATTGTGTCCCTGTAGGAAAGTGTCTGTTTGATTAATTATATAAGAGTCTGTCAGAGTAGCTCTGTTAGCCAACACACAGGCCAGGCCTCCACTAGATGAGATGTAAAGATAAAAATACCAAATCTCTTTCTTTGAGTTTCATCCATGAAATATTAAGATTGAGTGATAATGTGACATGCATGCTGTTAAATATTTAAATTGCAATAAACACAAGGCTGTTAAAGCGTGGCACGGGGTTGTTTTATTTTCTGTCTACAGCAGTGAAAGGTAAATACTACACTACTGCTGTGTGTCATACTTAAACTCACTATTTTGAGTGCAGAAGTGTGTTCACTTTATCAACTATGGATACATGAAGTACTTTAAGAGTTGGTGTACTCGTAATGGTCAGAAAGCCCAAAATTCCTGATGTTTGACTCGTCAAAATTCAAACACTACAGAAACAAGTGCTCGCTCTGCAGAAAGTAGTGTACAAAAGAGAAGTATCCACTTTAACAACTTAGCATCGCATTTTAGTTCACAGCATGAAATAAAATGCAGCACAACAAGAGATGAGTCTATTTTTTGAAGTGTATGTATTTTTTTGATTTGCATACATAAACCAAATGCAAAATTGGTGCTGACAGTTTAACCAGATGATTTACAATCAGGGAAGAGCTCGCACCTCTCCCAAGTTCCTGATCAAATTCAAATCAGCAATGATTTTCTAACCCCAGCCACCCGGCGATTGTCACCGTTTTATTTTTAATTTAACGATGCTCCCAATGTCTGGCATAATTATTGTTTGGAAGCAGCCACGACCAAGAGAGTATGTGCTGTAATAAATCCTTTATTGACCAATTATGGCTCAGTCACACTAGAGTAAAAACAGCACGCTGACCTCCTTGTGTCTATGAAAAGTCGATGGTTGACTGAGAATTGCAACGAACTTTGTTGCTTTCGGAAACTGATTGCGGGTACTTGCATCCCAAACAATCACCATCCAACTCAGACTGACTGCAGACAGGTTGCTGAAGGTTGCAACCTGTCTGCAAATCATAAATGCAGGCAGACTGCCAACACATCTCTGCAAAACATCGCTTGGTAATAGTGGACTTGACTTGATTACTAACAGGTTGTATTCTGGTTACATTCGTATATAAAATCAAGTATGTCTGATTTTACAGTTTAATCAATGTCCTGCAGCAAATACGTCGTTATTGGTGGAGGCAATTCTGAATTCCTGATCGAAATCTACAAGGTTCTGGCTGGACTCTGAATTTTGCTGAATGCTTTTCGGTTGTCTGTTGTATTAAGAGTGTGCATGTGAGGATGGATGACTGACGTCTGCAGATCAAATTTACCTACAAATACAAATAAAGTAACCTCAAAGTGACCAGTTGTTAATATGATTTTTTGTGCAGAAGACAACAGATAAACTGCAGTTTTCAAGAAATTCTTCACACATAATCTACATATTATCACAAAGAGATTTCATTTAATTGCCAACCTGACCCAATTCGGTTGCACACTCATAGCAGACTAACTGCAGACTGACTCCATCAAGCATAGCTTGTTGTTCTATTGCCATATTGTTGCAGTTGCTTTGAATATATGTCTCCAACTACTGTTTTCCCCGTGTGACTGAAGCATTCACAGATTTCTAGCTTTCTGTAGGGGATATCATGTTCTATGTATAAAAAACAAACAAAAAAACAAAAACAATAGAATGTTACTTTTTTCATTTAAATTCTGACAATAAATAAAAGCAAACTTAAACAGAATTAGGGCTCAGATTAACTTTAGCCGGCTTCAGCACAATGAAATAAAAGGAAGCGAATGGGATCTCTGTGGATGGGCTCGATGGGTTTGATTGAAGAAGTGGCTGCGTTAAGCTAGTTAAATCTAACCAGCCTGGAGCTGCTGGCCTTAAGCAGAGACAACTCAATTCATTCTTTTTATTTCAGTCTTTTAGTTTTGTGAGCACTTGGACTGACAACAACACGCTGGTGTCAAAAAAACAATACTGTTTATTAGGGAACTAATGATGAATGAATAATGTGCCGTGATCGTTGTGTTATATAGGCTCACAGTGTACAAAGCTTTTTTATTGAATGCCAAGGAATTTTTAATGCCTGATACACAACACTTGGACACCTTTCCACAACCAGTGTTATAAAGAAAGCAGTAAAATGTCCTGATGAAGGGAGGTTTTATTAAGTTTGCACCTTTGCAAGAAAAAAAACCCATTCCTAAGTTATGTGTTACATTATTATTTGTATTGTGTTATGTCCACTGTTTTGTAAGTGTGTGGCAGACTCACAGAAAAATGATCTATTCAAAAGCTACTGTGCACTGCGATGCTTGAGCACAAAGTCACAAAGCAGGTTTTTTTGCCTCCTGCAGCACTTTGCACAGGGTTTGAATTCGTCAGCGTGCCGTAAAGTGAAGCGGCTTCACCTTTCTTTTCTTCCTCAACCTCCTCACAGAGCTCTCGTCTTTTGTGTAAAAAGGTGAACAACAAAAACCTGATACGACTCATCAGATGAAGCGTCAGCGTAAAAAATTCCATCCAACTGGTTCTCCAAGATTACACTGAACCAGAACGAATTATTGAAATCCACTGAATTAAAAAAGGTGTGTGTGTGTGTGTCGTATGCACAAGAAGAAATAGTCACATGCACAGGTGAGGATGAGAAGAGAGATCATATTTTGATCCATGTGACTGACAGCACAATGGATCATTTGCATCTGAAAGAGATTCCTTTTCTTTTCACACGAAAAAAAGAAGAATGGAGATACCAGGTTCCTCCACATACCAGGCAGCTTGTGACCCAGAATGAGATCGCACGAGAGCTCTTAAAATATAAGACTGCACCTAAGACACAAAAACATGTGTGGCGATTTGGCCTTTTATTAACTGTTGAGAAGACCCTCAAGGGACCCACTGAAGAGCCTTGTGGTTACACATCAGCTGGAGCACACCTTGCACTGTAGAGTGCAGGCAGACATCCACCCGGGCTTGTTAACAAGTGACTCAGGTTTCACTGGGGCATTGCGTGTGCTCAATAATGAGGAAAGGTTAATAAGCTGATCAATGGCAAAGAGATTGTGCTGCCTGCTGTAAGCTGGTAAACAATAGCAGGAACACCACATTAGGCTGCGCTGACCCGGTTTTTACGAGGGCTCAGGGAGACAGGCCGAATGTAAACTGTAATTTTCCCCGCCTGCTGAGAGCATCGGGGCGAGCACGCTGATGAATGGATTAGAAATGGAGACGGGCAAACATGGGAATGTAGCCGACACCTCCAGAGCGCAACCTGATTAATCTGTGACTGCATCTCTCATTCCTCCCCACCCCCCGCACGCTCACGCCGCCCCCTTTTCACCTGATGCGATGACAAGCCATGCTGTAATGAGTTTTGCAAAGATTTCTTTCAGATCGATGCCCCAATCAGTCAGCCATCGCCTGCAGACTGTGATTCACACGCTGTTGTCTCCCCGGCCACTCGATAGATAGAGAAAGCATTGATTTTCTTTTTCCTTTGGCAGGCTCGAGCATTGTGGGGTGGGGTGGAGTTTGGGGGACTCGATACTGCTGCAGGTGGAGGTGGTGGGAGGACAGGCAAGGCCTCACCGTGGATACGGCCTTGAGAGCGCGGCGTGTTTGTGTGTACAGTAGGCTCTCGCATGCATGGGTGAAACCAGTGCAAGCAGAAGGTTTGTTGACATTCTCACAGGGCGCAGATTTCTAATTTATGTTGACAGGGTGATAACACAGTACGCTACTGTTCAAATACATGAGGTAAATGCAATGTGTAGCACTGTGCTAAAATGCATGTTCTTATTACATGTAGTAGAAATGGAAATAAGAAATTGAGCTATTTGGTGCTATAAAAAATACGATCCTCTTTTGAGAGAATTGTCAAAATATATCCCAACCTCAACTTTGAGAGGTCTGTTTGAGCAAAACAAAAGCTCTGAAACCAGCACTGTTACAAGTGTACCAGAGACTCAGATGGAGGCCAGCTGAGGGCTCAGTATCATTAGGTCTTCCTCAAAGAGGAAGGTCCCATCTTATCTTAAAGGCTTCATAGTACCATATCCCCTTTGTGCTCAGACTGAAGGCTTACTTGTGGTTCCTAGGATATTTAAGAAGTAGAATGGGAGGGAGAGCCTTCAGCTTTCAGGCCCCTTTTCTGTGGAAGCAGCTCCCAGTTTGGATTCAAGTGATAGGCAACCTTTCTAATTTTAAGACAAGCCTTTAAACTTTCCTTTCTAAAAAGCTTATAGCTAAGGTTGGATCGGCTGACCCTGCACTTTCCATTTGTTATGCTGCAATAGGTCTAGGCTGCTGGGGGCTTCCTGTGAGGCACCGAGTGTTTTTCCTTCCCACTGTTGCGAACTATTTGCTCATAGAAGGTTGTCTGAATCGTGTGGTTTTCTCCCCACTATTGTAGTATCTTTAGCTTTGAATATAACAGTGACTGTTGTGATTTTTTGCTATATAAATGAAATTGAATTGAACGGACAGAGGAGAGTAAGTACACCAGTGTACAGAACAGAGACGCACGGGATTATTCCCATGAAACTAAAACCAAATCGACACCATCAGTATATCTCAATTAGAACCACTGAAAGCCAAAATGTGAATGCAAATGAAATTCAGTGTATCATACAGTCCAATTACTTCATTAGTTTTTGATCTGTCTGGAAATTAATATAGTACCAAGTAAGTGACTGGAAAAGTTTAAAAAACATATGAGGCCCAAGCTGGATTCGCATTTGTGTCTTCTCTTTCTAACTTTGAAACTGAACTTTGTGGTAATTCTTACCATGCCTTCCTGCAGTGCTGTAGAGGTATCCAGTCCCCATCATCCATCCCTGGGAGTCTGAGTGTTGGCCGTGGGGAGTCTTAGCTCCAGAAGGCTGTCTGCCGTTGGATTGGGCCAGCAGGGAGTTGAGACAATTGTGTGTGCTAGCATCATTTCTTCTGTGGTGCACATGGCGGTTGTTGACGCTGGTACTGGCTAACGCGGCCTCGTTCACAAACACAGAGCCGTTACCGGTATGGCCTCTGGACGGACTTGATGCCGAGTCCTGAGGGAGAGGGAGGAAATGTCAGGGCTCGATCCAGACTATCAAGATCATCTTCGAGAACCGTGAGAACAGGAAGAGGAAACCCATTTTTGTTCCAGGATAAGATCATTAACAAATCATGAATGCTGACAGCTGGATGGCATTCACACCTATGAAATCTGTCAACAATCCACCTTTGAAATACTCACGCATTTACATAAAAAGACCAGGAAACACATTTGACATACCTGCCAACAACTAGAAAAGCCTCCATTTCAAGATCTCTACTTTCCTCAAGCTTTAATTACAAAAAGACAAAAAGTGAGTCACTCGAAATGACATTTTCTCACTTCATGCAATAAACGGATCTCTTTCTCTGTCTCTCTCTCCAATACAAAGAAAGCGAATGAAATTTTATTTTTTGATGCTCGCAGCACTGAAACATTTCTTTCTGTGGATAATATAAAGACTTCACTGTGAAGTTTCTGCAGAGGCAATTTCTTCCAGAGAAAGCCATTTCCAAGAAAAGTGCTCACAGTATGTTCTGTGGATTTATGTGAATAATGGAGAAGCTGTTTCTGGAAAGACACTCTCGCTGACATTTTTTTCTCCCTCACAAATGACTCACTTACCGTTGCAAAGGCAAAAACTCTTAAGAGAAAATGAAAATAAAAGTATATCAACTAAAGGTAAGTGAGGGAACATGTTGTCATTTGGGTGAAGCGACCCTTTAATGTTTGGCTAAGGGCAGATTAGGACTCATCTTCACATAAACATGGCCTTTCCCTCTGCTGAGTGCAGGCAGCACAGCTAATTAGATGCAACCAGAGAGTCAAAGTGTGTGTGTGTGTCATTTGATCTGTCTCTGACCCTATGAACCATTGCCTCTGGCTGAAGCATTAGTGTGTGTGGGGGGGAAACATTAGGACCTGCACTGTCTCGGCACGCTTTTGTTGGATCGACTAAAATAGATGAATGGAAATAAATAAAGACTCCAAAAAGCCAGGAGAGCCTCATCACATCTAGCCTGGAAAAGACCAAGGTGGGGGTGGCGGTTGTGTGTAAATTAATGAGGGACAGAGGGAATATCGAAACCTGAGCCTGCTCATTTGTCCGTCCATTCTGTGCTCTCTGTGTGTCTTCTGAACAAGTCACACCTGCTGCCGAACAGAGCGACACAAGCCCCATAAGCCAGCGGAGGTTCAGATAGATGTACGTGCTAAATTAGTTTCACCACTGCTGCAGTTCCACGTGAGGTATATTGGGACTTAAAGGGCAGGGGGAACAGCACACCCTTTATCCTCCATGCCTTCCAGCTGTGTGGGACATTTTGCTGGAGTGCTTTTCAAACAAAGTGTCGATAATCTAAGCCCCTTTGGGTCACAATTGATTGGTTTCTTAGGCCGTGTGCCTCTGGTTTTAATTATTTTTGTCAGAGCTTTTATTTGCAGTGGTTTAATTATCATCAATCATTAAGATGTTTACTGGTGAGCAGAGCTGCCGGAGCACTAAGACAAATGGTGCTGAAATTGCTCTCATTATCGCAGGTCGTATGTCAAGAGGGGATTGGACTGCTAGGTGTGAATGTGTGAGCCAGCGTAACCCTGGCTGATGGCTGTATGAGAAAAGCTTCTTATTAATGATTTTAGCACAAGAAATACTCCATAGATGCTGTATATCTGCTCCCACTGAGGTCACGAGCGTTAGTGAGGGGCATTACTGGCTCATAGATTCACTGGTAAAAGAAAGGGCTATCACTTCTGGTTCCCCCAATACCTGCTGTCCATCAAGTGGGATGAACATGTGAGGATTCGCAGTTGGAGGGCTGTCCTGCGGCCCGTGCTTCCAGCACTGCAGCAGCTTTTGCTGCTCATCCAGGCGCTCTCGTTCCCTCTCCACGCTCCTCTGGCCCTCCCTGAGTCTCTCCAGGTTCTGCTGGTACTCCTCGAGCTGCTCGTCCAGCTCTACACGTTCACGTCTCAACCTCTCCGCTGCCACCTGGCACTGCCTCTCCCTCTCTTCCAGCATGCTCTCCTGCGCCCCCTGCTGACTCTTCCTAGCCTGGCACTCTCGCTCCCAGCGCTCCTTCTCCTGGCGCAGGCGGTCATGGAGCCGCTGGGCCACCGCCGCCTCCTCCTTCTGCTTCTCCAGGTTACGTTGCTTCTCCTGATCCTGGAGGGCGCTGCCCCGGACACTTGGGAGATGCAGCCGTTGGGCACGAGGGGAAGGGCGGCCGCTCTCTTGGAGAAGGAGCCTCTGGACCTCATAGCAGCTGTCCTGGATGGTCACCGCAGCCTAGCACAGAGAGGGGAAAGTCAAAAGCGACATGGTTCATCAAAATGCAAATGATCAACTGCCACTTTTACCACCGTGTTGCCTCCTCGCAACGTATTTGAATGGCAAAATGTGACGGAGATCACGATCAAGGCTAAAGTGATGACTTTTAATTTTTATGCATTAAGGTCACAGCAACTAGTGACAGGAAGCCACAGCTGCTCATACCCAAAATGAAACTTTGTATATGGAAATCACATCGTGATCAAATCCTCGAGCCTAAGTAGATAGGCAAGAGCGCGCACACACGTCATTTGCAAATACACCCACATTCTCGTCCTCACACAAATTTAAATTTTACACCAAAGAAGGAGCGTGTGTACAGTGAAGCAAAAGATCCTGCTACGTCTCCTGACTGAAAAAACAAAACAAAAAACAGATCAGTGAGATGAGCTCCTGGAGCTCCAGCAGAGTGATGCTTCTGTTTAAAGTGCGCAGGCGAATGAGAGCCTGCTTATGATACAGAACGTATCTGTTCATACTGAGATCACAGGAGGTGTGTTTCTTTTTCTTTTAATTTCTTTGTTGGCCTAATATAGATGAGGGCTGTGAGGAGGGTAAATAAAAATAGCTCACCTGCAGACTGTACAGCAACTGAGTCAGGTTTTGGACACTCTGAGCCACCTGTTAATAGACAGAGTCAGATACAAAATGCAGATTAATGGGTCTTCCGCAGTTTTCATGTGTGAACATCAAGATTTCACTTCCTATTAGTTAGCTACACAAGTAACTACAAGCTGCATTCCTCTTTAAGCTTGAAGTTGCATTGACAGAACACCTGTGCCCCCTGGAGGCCACGCGTGAAATGTCACCACATTGTTTAGGGTTAAATTATCACTCTCTCTTATCAGAGTAATTTACCTCACAGGCCACAGAAAGCTGCAAAGAGCAGCAAGGCTGTTGCACGGTTTTTGGAATAAGTCCCCATATCAATATTTAATGCTGCAATACCTCAGGAAACTAAATGGACTTCCTTTATTATGAACTTATCAATGATTCATTAGATTAAGGCCAAAATGTAATTCTAATAGACTGCACTGAATTATTAAAGCAACAACCTTGAGCCACACATCTGTAAAGACGTGGAAAGAAGCCGTGCTCAGATGCAAGAAACACGTTACCTCTGCAGTACAGCAGCGAGGGAGGCATTGCCTCCTGATATCTGCATCAATATTTAACTCAAAAAGCAATTTAATTTATCTTCTCTGTTTATATGGTGAAGTCACAGCACACATTTTAAACAGCAGGTTGCGTACCTTCAAGTCAACGTCGCCTCGATTGTCTTTTTGAAAGTCAGTTGTGGACTGAAATACAAAGGTCTCAGGCCAGCTCCCCTCGCTGCCCCGAGGGTCTTCAGGCGAGACCTCCAAAGAGTCTGAGGGCTCGACGGGTACGGCAGGGCTGACAGGAAACACGGAGTCTGTGTCAGAGTTCTGGCTGTGACTCGACAGTGAACGGGCCTTGGACGATAACATGGCCTTTAGGTTCTCAGCTGGAAAAAAAACAGACGGGACAAGTGTAAAACTCAAACTAGTAAGATCAGTAACAACATTACTGAATCAACTGAAGCCATCAACAGTTCAATTTTGTTGTAAGAACATAATCCAAGTTTTCTCGCCGGAGCTGTTGGCCTTTTAAAAATCATGTAACTCTGTTAAATTAAAGCGCCAGCATCTCATACTTTATGAATTTTCCTAAAATGGGTTTATTCATCATGTAGTGCAGCGGTCCCCAACCTTTTTTGCACCATGGCCCGACAATATTTTCATGGACCGGCCTTAAGGTGTCGCGGATCAATACAACAAAATAAAACTAGCACCGGTACTGAAAAAAAGAAGATTTATTCATAACACACGTGAAAAGACCCAGGAAAACCGAGTTAACGATAAAAACGATAACAAAATAACGCTGAAAACCGATAAAAACCCTGAAAACCATACATTTCACACCTGAGCCTCAACTCCCGCGGCCTGGTACCAAACGACTCACGGACCGGTACCGGTCCGAGGCCCGGGGGTTGGGGACCGCTGAGTTAGTGGATTACAGGGTGTGTGGAACAAAAAGAAAAAAAATCCCTTTCAACCTAGCACCAAAGACGTTACTTTGATCCCATGGAAATTAAGCTAAAACAACAGATGCTGCCTGCCGTGCTGTTTAGCATTATGCATTTTTTGCACCCCTTTAAATATATATACCAAGAGCTAGAGCTAGCTTGCTAAGATTATTTATATCTCTTACTTATATTTGTGATTTTCTGATTTATTCTTACAGTGTAAATATGTTTCTTCTTTTTGCATGTATTGCTCTTTCTGTTTATAAAACACAACAATAAAGGAATTAGGAACATAGGTTTTTGGATATTTTTCCTCTGTACTGTATTGCTACAGTAGATTTTTTAATTAAATGATCAAGATGTGATCAAGTGCAAACTCTCAGCTTCAATTCAAGGGGTTTTACAAAAGCTTTTCAATAACTGTTTAGGATTTTTACAAGTACTATAAGGAGTACTGTAAGTTGAGAACACTGTGGATATGAAAATATGTTTGCTGAAGTGTGCAGTGCATGTGAAGGTTTCACCTTCTTGCAGCGCAGCGGTCAGCAGCGCAGAAGCCTGGAGAAGCTCCTCTGAGTGTGGCTGCACCAGCAGTCGCGGTTCAGCTAGCGAAGCCTCCATCCTCCCACTCAGAACAGAGAGCTGTGTGTAGATCTGCAGCTTCTCCGCCAGGCTAGAGCAGATCTGCTGGTCCTGGCTCGTCAGGCTCTCTGGTACAAGAGTTCATGTAGTTCAAAGAGCGTAAAATGTTAACAGCTACTATGTTTACAGTTTTTCTCAGTTGCTTTGGCTCATTTCTTAAATGACAGCTGAACGTAGCCAAATCATGTGTGAAACTCTTCAGAACAGTCTGTTACTTTAGCACTTCAGAACAAGCTTTAATTGTTATTAGTGTTTGCAAATGTTTTAGAACATTTAGGCAAGAGACGACACTCAGCGTGGTGTAATTGAAACCATTCAGAGATGCTTCAGTCTTTAATAATGCTTCTATACGCTCAATATTTTTACTCTTGATAATATGTGAGCATCAATTCATTTGCAGCTCAATGAACAGCGAATAGTCCATCTAACAGTCACAAATATGCTGAGCCAACATGTGCAAGTCATCAGACTGTAAAGCATCTTTTAGAGCTTCAGTGCAACAAAGTTACAACAATGTAACATTTTTCCATTACAATAGATGCAAAACATCATTTTGACAAATGCATAAAAGGCAGCAGGCAAGTTAAGAACCTTTGGCAGTTCATCTGCAGTGTTTTAACATTTTAAGAGAAATGCATCTGCAGAGCCAAAACAACAGCACTGAAAAAACACCCCAACCCTGTAATAAATCTACATTTAAAATAATTACGGTCAATAGGAAAAACACCCCAAACAAAATGGTTAAAAATACCTTGTAGCTTTTGGATCTTCTGAAAACGAGCCTCGGCAGCTCGCTTCTCCTCGTCCGATTCACTTGTGTATTCCTCTTCGTCCTCCGGACAGCTGAACAGAAGCGACAGTTAAATCAGGTCAGGCAGGCAAATGTGTACACATCATAAAATCTGTGTATTCAGTTCTCAAAATCCTCCTTTTCCCCACAATTTAAACTGTAATTTAATTCAGTTTAGTTTTATTTATATAGCACCAAATTACAACAACAGACACCTCAAGGTGCTTTATATTGTAAGGTAGAGACCCTACAATAATACAGAGAAAACCCCAACAATCAAACAAACCCGAATGAGCAAGAATCTGGTGACGGTGGGAAGGAAAAACTGGCAGGTTCAGGCAAGGGCCTCATACACACCTCTCTACGGCCTCTCTAATGAGCCTCATCCATGTGTTTCGCTCCTCTTTGGACGACGTGTGGACCTCATACATTTCTGGTCCAGCCGCTGAGGCGCTGATCAGAAACATCCCTCTCTCTTCGTTCGCTACTTCCCGAACTATTAACTTCTGTAGTGGAATCACTGGAGGCTTCTGGTCCTTTAACACATTTAAAGCATGGAGAAAAAAAACAAAACAAAACATCAATCATCCTTACATGGTGCAGTGTTTATTACTGATTTCTTTACTGAATGCGTACCACAGTTGCAAATGTGTACTTCTGGTCTTTTTCTTGGAGGAAGATGAGGGTGTCTGTGAGTAGCAGCGCCAGGACGTCTGGGCAAAATAACGACAGGTAGAAAAACAGTTAGATCAGATAGGATGCAAAAATGACACATGAACTTCTGAGTATCATGTATCACCTTTGAGTCGCCCGGTGGCAGTCTTCCACAGGAGCACCCCCTGGTGTTTGAGCACTTGTCCGGGCCCCATCATATCCTGCTTGCGGAAGGTGTGTCCGCTCTTCAGCTTAGCTGCGCTGCGGTTCTCCATGCGATTAAAGACTTCCTGTAGCCTCTGGTGCCGTTCGTATTCGCTGACCCTCATGTCCACGGCTGCTATCACCTCTCGAATGTGAGCCAGGGCTTTCGAAAGGTCTGTGTGCTCCTCTGTTTCCTCTGATGGACAGAGCAAAGGAAAAACAAAAAGAAAAAAAAAGAGGGTTTTCTTGTTTTTTTAACTAAAGTAAGGTTTTATTTTTTGTCCCCCCAACACGTAGGTTTAGTAATCATAAGAGCCTGTAGCCAGCAGAGGGCAGTAGATGACTGACCTTGAGTATAGCGTAGAATCCTCTCTAGCAGCACTGGGTACTTTGTAATCCTTTGGGTTACCAGCAAGATGCACTCTGGGATTTCCCTCCGTCGCACCAAAGAATTATTCCCTTGTTGCTTTAAAAATGAAGTATAGCAATTATGAAAGATCTAGTGAGGTGAAAGGGAGTGAGTCTATTTTAATTTAATGATTTTTGAAAGCATGACACAAACGTTAAATACCCTGATGAAGGTCTGAAATCTTTTGTTATGTTGTTGGAGCTCTTTGAAAAAGCTGACAGCTTCATTATGGCGGCTGCAGAATTCCCCGTATACCTGCTTCATCTTCTCCCCGTTCTCATCCGTGAACTGCAAAAAGTAGAACCAGGCGACTCAAACATGACCTAATCCGGTCTAACCACACCTGAGACAAAAGGTATACCCATGAACACCAGCTAACCTGCTGGAGCAAGATGTCTCCTATTCTCTGGATGAGGTAGTTCCTGTGGCCCTGAGGCTGGGTCGAGCTGTGTCGCCGTTCCTTCATGGTGGCAAAGAAGGCGTGGTGAAAGAGAAGCAGCTGATCCAGACAGGGGAAGACTCGCTCCACCGCTTCGGTGTCCAGCTGCACCTCTTGTCTCATGCCTCGCCGGAAAATCTCGGCCATGATGTGCAGAGTTTGCAGGTGATGAAGCTCGGTCTGCATCAACTCTGGATCAGGGTGGGGGAGGTGTTAGATTTGGGACATGTGCTAAATTATGCCAATAAAAAGCTGAATCTCTTACTCAGTCTTAAAACGGTTTTCTGTGGTTTGACACTTTTACATATGAAATCCTGACACATGCAGAAAGTAAAGCATTCCAGGAGACGCCTTTCACAACAGCAACATCTGCTTACCATAGATTACATCCTGCCTCTTGACAGCTCGTTTGTCTTGCTTCTTGCAGAACTTGTGCTCAACCGTCAGGCTCCATGATTCAGCTTCATATTCCACAGAATCAGCTGATATGTCACTGTGGATGTATGAGTCTGTGCAGTCTGCAGATGGAAAGAGGCATACGAATCACTTTCATTTCTTTCAGTCAGTTTTGTTTATTTTCTGTAACATTTTATTTAGTAAAAAGAGACTCCCTAGCTTCTGTCCCCACAAGTTTGACAAAATGACACCTGCAAGCTCTAACAAGGTGTCCAACTTTTTAACTGTTCAGCATTTTAATTGAATGATAAAAGAAAGTTTGGACGCTTCTTATCTCACATAATGTTTGTGTACGATTTAATAGCGTAACCTTGAAATACAAAATGTTATGAGAATGTCAACAAAGTGCAGGTTATAATGTTCTCACTACAAGATGATAACAGTGAAAAAAAGCTTCACAGTACAGTGTTCAGAAACCACCTGCAGGATATCAGTGAGGCCTGAGATTTAGAGGGAATCACAGAGAAGTTGTTGGAGACAGATTATACAACAATCCACACTTAAAGTCTTCCCATGCGAAAGTCTGGGATCACATTTTTGATCTTCAGTTGATCCTAGCAGCACTGGGTACCTCGTGATCCTTCGTGTAAACGATCCTTAGATGCCATCAGACCAAAACAAGTCAAGTTTAGTGACTATATGTTACTTTCGGCTGCTCTGGACACACACACACACACACACATACACTGATACACACTCATCCCCCCTCCCTTTCCAAACGCCTTCGATGCTTGTTCCCTCCCGGGGAAGATGGCGGTCGACTGGACCAGCGCAGACATGCTGCAGGACCAGATGCGCTGTCTACACCGGCTCTCTCTCACCCTTTTACCCGCACCTGTTGCTTGTCTTGTGTTTCTGTGCTGTATTGATACTCATGTGCTTTTTGTGCCAGGGTGTTTTTTTCTGTTATCAAACTGTTCTCCCATTAGGAGCTCAGTCTGAGTGGAGGTTTTTTTTCCTCCTCTCACTTCATGTTATGTATTTTTGTTGTCTTTTCCTGTCAGCCTCCCTCTCTGACATGTCTTCCCAATGTGTTGTTTGTGTAAAGTTTGGTCAGAAGGTTCCTTTATAAGTGCGCATGCGCCATTAGCGTGCTGCCTGCTGTAACCCATAATTTCCTTCGGGATTAATATTAGTATTCTGATTCTGATTCTAACTTGTTACAAAGGATCAGCAGGTACTTAAATGTTTAAGCAAGAAGAATCCTCTAAAGTCAGATGTTGGAACTCTGAGCTTAGTGCATTTCATTAGCAAAGACAGAAAATTAAGGGCTGCTCTAACTTTACAAATCCAAGTTGAGGGGGGCATTACAGATTAAAATCCTCACTTAAATATTAGTTTAACTGGTGTGCATAAATTGGCTAGCTGTCTGTCCCTCTGTGTTAGCCCTTTGATGGACTGGCACACCCTCCAGGGTGTCACTAGTCCCTCTGTGACCCTGCACTAGTTAAGTGGTTAAGAAAAAGGATAGATGCATTTCAAATACTGGATAAATTGCTATGATATTCTGGAAAACGGAAAAAATAGTGCAACCACCATTTCCACTAATGGTTTGGCTGAAAGTTGGAATGCACAAAAGATTTTACAAATGCTTCGATAAACACTGAACGTTAAACATAAATAACACAAAAAAATCTGGCACAAAATCTTGCCCCTATCATATAGTCTCCATGAAATAATAATTCAAAAGATTAAAACTAACACTGAAACTAATAGAAACGAAATTAAAACTCAACATTTTTCAACAATAAAGACTGAAATTTAACAAGAAATTCCACTCTGGACTAAAGTGGATTCAAAACAAAAAGTCAAAATGGAAAAAAAACCATCAACTAATACAAAACTATAATACTTCTGGTTAGGCAAAAACATTTTAAAATATTATTTGTATTGTTACAAGGTTATAAAAAACTAGGAATAGTTTTGGAGAATGTTTTCCCAAGTTTAAGATGAAAGTTTTGGGAAAAAATTAAAAGCGCCACTCAAAACTTTACTAGATCTCTGAATCATAATCATTGGGGGTCCTACGCTATAAGTGCGTCTCAGAGTTGGTAAGGATAACTGCCCTGTGAATATAAAAGTCTAAAAACAGTGGAAGACCCCTGATTTATTTACAGACTTTGGAATGCATGTTAATGGTTCACTAAAGCTGTGTAAATCTGAGACTTGTCTGACACACGCTACATTTCAGTACATTTTCTTCCCCAAAGCATCTTCTCTCGGACGGTTTAAAAAAAAAACCTTAAAAAACCTTAAAGTTAGTATTTAAATATGCATTTCACTGTTACATACAATTTTTTTTGTATTTGGGGATCCTGAACGCGCCTTTATCACACCTTTCCTACAACTATTCTATTTGAATAGAATTTCTATTCATTGTTTCTATTTAAAAGTCAAATATAATGATCAAAAATGGGTGGAAAGCTACTTTTTACAGTAATATTATAATATAATACTTTAGAAAATAGGAATGTTTTGCAATTATTCTTTGAACACCCATCTGCTTCCAAACATTTCCTGTTTTAATCTACAGTAATGGGAGGAACTGTGATGCCTACTTATATGCCTTTGTCCCCTATAAAAAAAATACTTTCAGTTTCTGAAAAATATTCTTACAGTTTGACCTTTTAAACTGCACTGATCAGCTTTTTCTTGCAGCAGCAAACAATGAAACAGAAACTGATCTGTTTCTTTTTGGGTCTTTTAAACAACAAGCCCTATTCATACCTTACCCTCTCCAAAGGACGACTCGGTGGAGGTGGAAGACACTGGAGTTGGCAGGAGCTCTTCGGATTGGCTGCTCAGCTTCAGGGTATCGGACTCTGTCTCTGAACTCTCAATGAGTTGGCTGTACCAAGAGGAAAAACACAAACAATCGCTACTTTTCGCTATTTATTTCTTTTTAACACAACAAATTGTGTAAAAGATAAAGATTAATAACCTTTCCACGTTGGGGAAACTTCGTGAGAGAGACTGCGACACGGCGTCCTTCTTCTCCTTGGGAGTCATGACGGGTAGAGAGGTAGAAGTGGGGATCACTGAGTGAGGAGGGCTGTCTCTCACTGTGAAGTCTGAGGGGGGTGACGGGATAGCAAAGCAAATTAGCCTAGATAACAATAATCATCCCAAGTTTTATAAACAGGAAACTCTTGCATGACATGGTTAAAATCACTGGCGACCAAGTGTTGTAAACTCACTCTGTGGAAGGGATGCTGTCCTGTTCTTCACCATGGACACGGCATATTTTTCCTGATGTTTCTAAGTAATACAAATGAGGGAGTCTGCTTACAGCACATAAACAACCGACAAAGGGACGATCTGCTTTAGGCTAAGACTCACCTTTAAACACGGGGGGACAGATTCCTTACAGCCCTTATGGACAATCGCAGTGCAAGCTGTGATGGAAAAAAACACAATTTTAACGTTTTTATACATGAAGAGAAATTAATATAAATGCTGGTTGGAATTTAAGTTTTACCAACTTGAGCAATGTAGTAGGTCCTTTCCAGAAACTGGTTTGTCACACACCACACACACCGTGGGGCCTAAACAGGACCCTGTCGCAAAGCGATGTCCATTCGGCTGCCTGTCCTTGCCTTCTCTGTCCTTCCCTTTCCCCTTTGAAAGCCACGCCAGAGACATTGGAGTCAACAAAGAGGCCATACATACGCGAGGCGAAACGTGACTGACTGTTACACCTATAAACTCAAGCCCATGCAGGACTTAATACAAAAGACGATAAACATCTTTGTGAACGTTTCTATTTGCAGGGTAAACTCTCCAGCATGCGAGCGGATAAACGAGGCCACCAGGAGGACCCGCCTTTTTCCAAACCGTAAGAAAGTCCACTGACACGGAAATGAAGCGTGGTGTAAACAACAGACACAAGCAGGGAGGGCTTCCACTCTCTGTGCTGACTCAACAACAGGGGATTAATCATTAAAAAGGAAAGAAGCTGGACATGTTTGGTCTGTCCCTCTGACCTTGAGTGCTTCCCAGAAACATTTCCTGGTTCGTGTGTCTCAGAAAGCAAAGACTTGAGTTTAGACGTGGGAATCACCCAATGACATAAATAGGCTCACAAGAACAAAACACGAATGATCCTTTAATCTACGGATTTCATCACACCAAGGTCTACAGAGCAAACACCTGAAAATACTGCATGCCCTTTTAAGGTATTAGACTGAGAGTTTCATGTTGTAGCTAAAGCCAGCTTTAATCTACAACAAGGTGAAGTTATGCGAGTTATTCTTTACATTGTTGTTGTAAGTAAAACGTTTATAGGTGTAACAGCAGGACTCTTTGTGGCTGGGGTTTACCTTGCTTTTGTTACGTGTACTGGACATCCTGCTCTTGAGAAAACTGAATGTGCGGATGACTTTGTACTTCTCCGACTCCGTTTTGGCTGGAATGTTGTATTTATCCAACTCCTCCTCTTCAATTCTGTAGACAGGTTGATGTAAGTAATGCAGTTATTATTATTTTTTTGTGTGTGTTTGTGTGTGTGTTCTGCTTACTAACTGTATTGAAGACATAAATTAGTCACCGTGATCTGATTTCCTTATTCCTGAGTCAACAAAAGTAAACCAAGCATGACAGGTTTGTTGAGGTGCACACACTCTTACATGCAAAAAGTCTGCAAACCTAACGGATACATGACGTGACAAAATAGCGTTTCAGCTGATACTGTGCAGCATGTTGTTTCTGTTAGGGACAGGAACTGAAATAAAAGGCTGTACAAACATTTCTGTTATCTACAGTGGGGGAAATAATTATTTGATCCCTTGTTGAATTTGTCAAATAAACATTCTCTAACTTTTACGGTGGTTTCCTTTTAAAGCAAAGAGACAGAATATTGAACACAAATTTAGGAAATATGTCAAGAGTTATACACTGATCTGGATGTTATTGGGTGAAATAAGTATTTGATCTCCCTATAGCCAGAATTCTCTCTGTGGATTACAATCACTCAGTCAATTACACATTTTTTTTGTTGTCAACCAGTTTTTTCATTCTAACTTCTCCACCACCATGGGCCTGGCCAGTGAGCTGTCAAATGACGTCATGGAGAAGATTGTAGACCTGCACAAGACTGAAATGGGTCATCAAGAACACCACACACTACAATGCAATGACTGCAACGATCTCCTGCTTAAAAAGTCACATTTAAAACCCTCTCCTAAGTTTGCCAATGACCTTATAAATGAAGGCTTGGTAGAAAGTGCTGTGGTCAGATGAAACTAAAATCGAGCTCCTTGGCATCAGCTTGACAGAGAAATGCTGGGTGTGATCCAAGTAACACCATCGCCACAGTAAAGCATGGAGGTGGAAACATTATGCTTTGGGGCTATTTTTCTGCTAAGGTTACAGGACACAAGTGCACTAAGAGACCAATGAATGAATCTATATTGTACCAAGCCATGTTTTGCTTGGGGATCAAATACTTATGACAAGCAAATCATTTTTTTGGTTGATATTCAAAAAGTTTAGTGACTATATGACTGTTGCCAGTTAGAAAACTTCAAATTCAGTAAGAGATTAAATAATTACTTCCCCCACTCTACAAGCACAGACCAAAAAACAAGTTCTCCATTTCTGCAACACTTTGCTGTGAAAGCAAGTAAAAAAACAACAACTAAGAACTGTTAGAAGTTAGAGACATGCATGACAAAGAAAGACATTCGGTGCATATTGTTAAAAGATCCTAATTCTGTTCCTGTTCTGCTGTTAGAGGAAATGTGGTTTGTTGACAGGAGGTACACGTGCTGTAGGTTTTGTTACGTTTTTTAACAGTTAGTCTTTTATGTCGGATGGTTAATGACGCGGACCCAGGCAAACAGAGGTGGATCCCCCACATACTCTTTGAGAAACTCAGACAGGGTGAGATGTTGTAGGGACTCTGCCAGCTCCATGCTGCCTTCATCATCAGCAGACTGGGCACGCTTACGAAACTTGATCTCCCTGTAAAGAACAGCGCCATAACACACCATGTTTATATATTCTCTGCCACTAGAGTAGCTTTGTATGAGTCACAGTTCAAAATAATCCTTATTTATCCAACACCGGGCTTTGGTAAAACAAAAAAAACAAAAAAACCCAAGAGTTTTCTTTTGTAAACAGGAGAGCTGAACATCAGATTGGCCCTCTCTGCTCCTGAGATGATCACATTAAGGATATCTACTCTCTTTGACATCATAGAGATCCTAGAGTAAGGAAAGCTGTGCGAGTGAGTGTTTAGAGCAGTCAGACTCCCAGGAATCTGTCTCACAGGGATTACTTTTGCATAGTTTGTCATCATTATACAAAACTATGAGCATCTGCCATTGTTATAAAACATCCACATAACCAGAAAGTTGAAGCGCAAAGTAGGTCCACTTAAAAGTGATTGATAAGTAATATCAATTGGCTTTTCTTTTTTAATGGAAGAACTGGAAACTGTGCTTTCATATTTAAATCATAAACATTTCAACTCAGTGATGAAAAACACAGAGCAGCCTTGTGACACTGACAAAAAAATCAGGTTGGGTGTAGAGCAGGGTCACATTGATATCTCTGCGTCACTACCGCTTTTGTCCCTAGAAAAAAAAAATAGATCAAACACCAGTAATGCCAAAGAAAAGGCTCTGAGTCATCAGGACAAAAGAGCTTCACAAAAACCAGCAGCCAAGTTCACAGAGCGCCTGCTGTCACCAAGCAACCTGGTCATGATAGTTACCTACATATGCTGCGCTTGGGATTGCAAATTTATTGACGCATACGGCACTTTCAATTAAGAGCTCCAAAAAGGTCACATCAGTTAGTGCTAGGAAACAAAAGGAGACAGAAAAGAGACCCTGGAACACAAAATGATCCTAATAACGTTGAGTAAATTAAATGCAAAGTATAAATACCTTTTCTCATGAGACTGATCTGATATACTGGAGGCTCTTGGCTCTGTGAACACAAAAAAGGGGCAGATGTTGCTAAAGTTGAAAACAATAACAAATAGATTATTGATAACCCAAAGAAAAACAGCAGGTAAAGTAATATTTAGACTAGGCAACAAGTTTTGTTGTCAGATTTATCAGATTTTATTTCCATTCTAGAGAAGCTGTTCAGTTTCATATGACAACATTTGAATACAGACACAATTGTTATGCAAAGCAACAAAGATGGTCCTCAGGTATCAAATCAGGACAGGATGATAATATGAAAAGCAGTAGCACAGACAGACAATCACAAGTGCTGACCCGCCAGAGACCCACAAGCAGTCATCGCTGCTGCGAAGCGAAGCTGTGTCGTGATTACGAAAGCCATGCACAGACACAAAGACAAGCCAAGGTTATTACAGTTTGGTGATTCTAATTGAATTCTCTTTTTTAACTTTCTTTCTAATTTCTTGTTTTATGTGTTTTGATTGAAGAGCATTCGAGTATATTTTTACATTTTGCTGGTTTTTTAGGTTAATATGTGTTTTTTCTAAAGTCCGTATAAAACAAGAATAAATGTTTTCTGAATTTGTCACATCGCATAAAGTTGTGTTATTAAGTGTTTAATGTATATGATTAAAATATGATGAACAAATGAAGAAGCTCAAGCATTGAGGGCATTTGCAAAGACGACAAAACTACGCCCATCTGTGGGAAAGGTGCAGCCTCTCAAAAGTTGAAATACCAGTTGTGATTTGGAGAATGCATAACAGAAAATAAATGCATCCTAGCGGCAGTTTTAGAGTTTAAGCCAAAAAAAAAATTCCAGGCAACAATGCCCTACCCAAGAATCAACTTTTCCAGCAGACTGGTGTGTGGCCAAGTAGAGTAAGGCTGTCAGTAACAAAGACCCAAACATTATTTGGTAGTATTTCTTTGTCTCTCTAGAGTTAGATTAAATTGACAGATATGCTCCAAGCCATCTAAGTTGAAGTGGCAGTCATTGTGTAAACTATTCTCAAATTTCAGGTTCATGTTTCTTTTGTAGTAGTTTATATTTGCACACGAATAAAGACTGTACTTTTGTGCTTTGTGGGGGGAAAAAGAATTTAAATATGATACGCATCCAGCAGGCAATGTAATATTACTATAGGTTACTGTTACTAATTGGTTTTCCCTCATTGACAATTTGCATTTTTTGCTCAATATCAGCCCTAATTACCCCATTATATAGATTTTAGGCTAACATTGAACCTTAGTTGATAGTAAATAGCAAGCTATCATAGTACCGTATCATCCCAATGGAGCACTTTGCTCCCAGACTTCTAGTGTACTTGTGGTAGAATGGGAGGCCCTCTTTCACAGTGGTGAAAGAGGGCCATAATAATTTTGTGCTGTCTCCCTCCACTCACAGGCTCAGAGAGGGGCAGCCATCTGCTGCCATCTGGTTCCACAGGAAGTTTCTTCCAGGCAAATGGGACTATTTCCCTTCCCACTGTCGCAAAGTGCTTACGGATAGTGGGTCATCCGATTGTTGGGGTTGTCTCTGTATTATTGTAGGGTCTTTACCTTACAATATAAAGTGCCTTGAAGCAACTATTGTTGTGATTTGGCTCTATATAAATAAAATTGAATTTAAAATTAAATTGAATTATATGATTATTACTGCTTTTTTCCACATTGTTACCAAACTATTACCATGTTGCCACCAAGTTTCAATATAAAATTCTATCAAATTATGACTCAAGCCATTTTTCTTTTTTTTTAAGAGTTGAATCAGTTTACAATAATAACCTTGACTCGCCCCTCCCACACGTATGCAAGCATTAACAGTGACAGTGGCATGCAGGCTTTGCTGGGCCTTAGCACAATGTGACGGCTGCAGGTGTCCAGTACTTACTACCAGGGTGGAGCAAAGACAGAGATTTAGACAGAGAGAGGGCCTGAAGAAGAGATCGGCTGTGGCTGACACTGTGGTGCACGGCATCTACAGGGCACAGTGGATAGAGGAGTGCTCATAGATCAACTAAAGACACTTGAGACTATCAGCATGTACAGTCAACTCTAAGCTAAAAGCTGTTAAACAGTACTTAAACTTTAATTTCATTCAGTTTCGTAAACTTGTTTTGAATAAAAACTACTAATAACAACTATGTAAAGAAAAACCTTAAACTTTGATTGACATTTGGGGGAAAAAGTGTTTGTTTGTTTTTGTTTTTTAAATGGTTGCTACTGTTATGTCTACGCATTTCATATGAAGCTGGAGGCAGCAGCCAGTTACCAGCTGGCTCACCATTTTAACAGGAAACAGCTAGCCTGGCTCTGCTGGAAGCTAGCAAAATCCATCTAATTTGTTTAGTCCGCACAAAGAACACTGTTTAAAATGATAAATTGTGTTTTTCCAGGAGAGGTTTTCTGCCAGACTATTTCTTGTCTAGGTCTGGTACACTCATTGTGATGTCAGGACTCCAGAAATAACTGACTCCAGCCAAGAATTTGTCTGTCACATATAAGCACCCCTTTTATTCAATGCATAACGTGCTAATTTGTGAACTATAACTGTTGCAGGTAGATTAGCTTACACCCGCTGTTTCCACCCTTAGATAAAGATAGATATTTTTTCTCTGTACATTTATTTACTATACAGACAAGAGGCTGAATGTTCTCAAATGCAGGAACGTGAACAAGCATATTTCCCATTCAAACCACTAATTTACTTAGAGTTGACTGTACATTATATTAGTTGTAAGGCTATCTAGTTCAGCTGATCTGTCACTTGAAAGCTAATTTAAAATTAGCTAAATAGAATTCTCACCAACCAACGATGTGAGACTACCCCATCAGTGACAGACAAAAAAAGCAAAATAAAAAGGTTAATTGGAAATGTTGTTAGTCATGTGTTAAACTTTTATCATGCTCAACGATCTGAGCGTTACTAACCGGGGCTGATATCTGAGGCTTGGTTATCTCGAGTAAAACGAGCCGGACGTAAGCTGATTTTGGAGGAGTAGGAATATGATCGCAATCGAAGGCCCTCGTCAACCAGTTCCTACATGAGAAACAAGTAATGTTTGAAAGCATGAGTATAAAACTTGTCGAGCACTTCATGTACGGATAAGCCGAAGTACTTAATGAGAGGATGGTATATTACTTGTGAAGTGGGTTCATATGCTGATGCAGACTGGCTGCGGGTGCAAGTGAGATCAGGAGAGGGAAGAGGGAAAGTTTCCTCTTTGTCTTCACTTCTCTCCACATCGGATGAGAGTGGGGAAAGTGGAGACTTTGGCCCGACGCTTTCTTCTTCACTGTCCACTTCCAGAGCCACCAGACTGGGACTGGAGTTATAAATGACAAATTAGTTAGACACTATCGGTACACACAACGCACCGGAGAAGACATCTGATTAATACCTGAGGTCACAGGTCTCCATTGGTGGACTGCCTCTCTGATCGGCCTGCTCGGAGGAGGCGGGACGGATCAGCCTTGTGAGGGCCAGATCGACAGGTGAAAGCAGGGGAGAGCCGGATGCAGAGGATGGGTAGAAGTCTTCTGAAAAGGGCGGAGGGGTATCGGTGGCTAAAAGAATTTCCTCCGAGTTGATGGTATCCCATAAACTGCCATCTGTCCCTGTACTGTCCCTCGTCACTCCGCTGACATTGTATTTAATGTCAACATCATTCGCCTGAGGTGAAAACATAAGGCGGGACAGGAAAGAGCAAAAAGAAAGAAATTTATTAAGCAGCAAAGCAAAAACTGAAATTTTATAACTAAAAAGAAAGAGAATGACGTGTGACCTGTGCGATGGTGTGGCCGCTGCTGTGGATCGCAGAGAGCAGAGGGTGGGCAGCTTCCTGAGTGAACTGGCTCTGTACTTCACTGGACGGCATGCGATCTCCATTTACTATGACAAGCATAAGAGATTCACTTTGGTTTAGAATAATTCAAACAGACTACTTCTTCTTGTCACACACACACACACACCACTTTCTTAGTAAAGATCAACTACTGCACACTCTTGATTACAATAATTCCTCCCAGCATCAGCCCCATCAGCCAGAAACTAGAGAGAGACGGCTCTCAAGGGCAGGATAAAATAATCAGGCGACTTATCCACACAAACAAATCAAGGAAACTTCACCATGACGTGGTCAAAAAAGCATGTCATCAAAATAGACCTTTGAATCATTTTTGCTTCTCTCTCCTGCTTTTTTCTGTTATTTGAAGTCTTTTTTTAACCATAATTCAGTCATCCTATTGCTTAAATGTCATGGCTTAACACGCATTAAGCAAAAACGTGATGACCTTTAAGGGGTTGTTTTTATAGAAACTTCCACATATGATCCTTACAGGCAGCCTGTTTGTTTTCTGAGGGGGAAAAAAAAAGCAGATTACTGATTTGCACTGAGTCATGCTCACTATCACTCTCTCTTCTCTTTCCTTCAAGTGCTAGGTCAACACAGTGTTTATGAACACTCATTCTTAGCAATATTCAGAAATACAGGCAGTGACCTTGGTTAGATTTTAGATTTGAGCTCATAAAAATCCAATGATGAAAAATAAAAGAAACAATGTTGCCAAAGTTTTATGGGGG